GGGGTGTGTGCGGGGGGAGGGGTGTGAGTGTGGGGAGGGGTGTGAGTGTGGGGAGGGGTGTGAGTGTGGGGAGGGGTGTGAATGCGGGGAGGGGGGTGAGTGTGGCATGGACCGGAGGTCACTGGGAGCTCCTCCCAGGGGACCTCTGACCACATCAGCAAGGTGCGCACTCTATCCACCGCGGACTAACACACATCTCGAAACGAGAAAAACCAGTTACTGGGGGAATAGTGTGCAAGTTATAGCACAAGCCACAGACTGTTCAGAAATATGGATCCCTTGATTTTTTAATTTTTTGGGGGCAGGGGGTTAATCCTCACCCGAGGATATTTTTCCATTGGTTTTTAGAGAGAGTGGAAGGGAGAGACACAGAGAAACATGGATGTGAGAGAGACACATGGATTGGTTGCCTCCCCAACACGCCCCAAACAGGGCTGGGATCCAGCCTGCAACCGAGGTGCGTGCCCTTGGCCGGAATCGAGTCCAGGACCCTCCAGTCGCTGGGCCGATGTTCTATCCACCGAGCCAAACTGGCTAGGGCTGGAGCCCATTTTTCAAAACTGAATTGATTGGGGTGACATTGGTTAATAAAATTATACAGGTTTCAGGTGTACGATCCTATAACACATCACCTGTATATTGTAGTGTGAGTTCACCACCCCAAGTCAAGTCTCCCCCCATCTCCATTTATTTCCCCTTTACACTCTCCCACCTGCCCCACCCCTTCCCCCTGGCAGTCACCATGCTGTCTGCCTGTGAGGTTTTTATTTTTATTTATTTACTTATTGTTGCTCATCCCTTCACCTTTTCCTCCCAGGCCCCCTACCCCCATCCCCATTATATTTTTTATCAGTTGGGTTTTCTCTCCCTTCTCCACCTCCCGAGATGTTTTTGTAAGTTTAATCTTCTGTATGTTTTGAAAAGAAAAGTCGGACAACGACAGATGGATGAACATTCTTCTGCTTTCCCCAGCGGTCCATTTTTTTCTGGGTTTCAGGATCTCTTGGTGAGTGGCACCTCCGGGGGCTTAAATGGTTCATGTTACCTCTCATTTCCTATCACTCCGTCTGACGGAAAGCAGAAGAATTTTGGAGAATCGAGAACAACACCTCATTCATGACACCAGGTTTTACAACGAGGTCAGGCGTGTGTGTTGTCACAGTTGCCGGGAGCACAGCCCGTGTGGGCAGCGTGGCACGGAAGGTTCTGGGAAGACCGGGCAGAAACTGTCCCTGATTGGGGCGCCCACGACCTTTCCGGACTTAAACTTGGTCTTCAGTGGGGAGATCGGAGTTGGTGGATTTAGTGCTATTACACGAAATCGGAGCCAAATTTTGTTTAATCTTTTGTCTGCACTCGTGGGCTCTCCATTTCTTGTTTTTGATTTGGGGGATAAAACATTGGAAAAGGCTGAAATTGTGAGTCAGATGTTTACCCCTGTACACACAGAGGATCCGATCCCTGCGGGGTTATTCGGTTTTGAGGCGCTTCGTTTAGAGATGAGAGCAAGGGCAGACTCCCACGTGTGTGCTAATTTCATAGGTGGTAGCCACTGTGTCCTTTTCCAGCCTAACGAAAGAATCCCACGGACTTAATAAGCTATGGAGCCACCTAACAATTTACAGTGGCATTGGCCTAGCCCCGAGAAGTCTCCAATTTCAGGGCACAGAGAGCAATAGGAAGGGGGGAGGGACAGGCTCTGTCTCTCCAACTACTTCGGTTCCTGTTCAAACCTGAAGAGTATCTGTCTGCACTCTCGCTGCCAGAGTGCCCGGGGGAAGCGGTCCCTACTTCATGTTCCATTAATAACTGCATTGAAATGTAGGAACATCCTCCACTAGACTGCACGTCACCTCTGCCTACAGTATTCTTATTAGTCTTCACACTGTAAACGCCTTGAGGGATGTATCTTATTTGTCATTCTTTGGGTACTCAGTATAGTGCCTGGCACAGATAGAATATTGCATAAATGTGGAATGAATGAATGAATGAAATGGACAATTGCAGTTTCCTTATTCTGAGGACACGTCCCTTGAGGAAAGATCAGGCTTGAAAACAGATTTCTGTTAAATAATTCCATATTAGTTGGATCAGTTGGATCCAGGTGCCACATTTGTGTTGCTGGGCAACTTATATGGTCTTCCACTAACCCTTCGCTTTCTCTAATATTCACTCTCCCCATCTGTAAAAGTATACTCATCCCTGGCTCCTGTGTGTGTGTGTGTGTGTGTGTGTGTGTGCGTGTGTGTGTGTGTGTGTGTCAGGATAAAATACAATATTCCTTCGAAGATCGCAGTGTCTGGCCCATGGTGAGAGTTTAATAGCTTATTAGACTGGAAGTGGGCTCTGTGCTTTGGGTCAGAATGGAGATGCAGCCGGGTTGTTTGTCATGAATAGAAACTATACTTTAAGTAAATCCTTACAGTGCCACCTAGTCTATGCGGGATTCCATGTTAAACCATGGCTTGTCCCATAATGATAGCAACCATTTACCAAGTACAGAGCGATTCCTCCTCCGATTAGGAAGCCGCAGTAGACGTCCACCGGGTGGTTCTTGTACTGCGTTATGCGCGTCAGCCCGCAGATGATGCCGCAGATGATGAACGTGAAGACCAAGAGGGGCTTCAGGAGCTTCGAGGAGTCCGTTAACGTGGAGTTGAAGTACATCTTACACATGAGAGAAAGAGGTTAAGTCGGGGAGGAAGGTCATTTTACTATGACATCATCATCAAATAAAAAGCTGGACTCCAAAGTCTAACCAATGCGCTCGACACCAGTGCTACTGTCCCGCTCCCCCTGCTCCCTCTACGCTCTCTCCCGGAGAGGAAGGACACGCAAGACAGAACTCATCAAGAAATTAACCTCATTGAGTTACACGGAATCTGAAAAAGATGGACGCGGTACAGTTAGCCACACGCGCGTTTAGCCTCCAGGTATTTGTCATAATCCCTGTTCATCTGTCTCCCGTAGGAGCTAATGAACTATTGTATTAATCGGCTATGATGACAGTTCATGGTACAGCATTTATCCTATCGACACTGACTTAGAACTCACAGTTACAGGAGCAAAGCTGCTCAAGCTTGTGCTTGTGTGCGTGTGTGGACGTAAGACGATGCTTTCAGTTTTAGAATTACAACCTCCACGCAGTTCACAGTCCCCTCTTATGAAGCCCACTATTCCACTACAGGGATGCCAGGCTCCAGGCCTAACACGGCTGCGCAGAACCATCCTTTCCTCTAGCCCTGTCCCTGGCAGCACCGTTTCTGCTCTGGGTGCCGTGTGCAGAAGGACCCCTGCGCCGGAGCCGACTGTTATGTTGTTACACGGCGGCCTGATGGACTTGGGAGGAGAAAGGCTCATTCCTGACTTCCTCTGGGACACAGACCGACGAGAAGGACCCCGTTACTCACCGACACGTACACAGCGGCAAAGGCAGCGAGGGTCGCATGCTGGGAAGGGAATGATTTTCTGCAGAAGGAAGACAGTCAGATTACGCCTCCTGTTTCAGACACACGCCCACGACCAGCCCCAGAATACCGCGTGGCTCACACGTTCAGCTCAAACGCCGCCAGGCAACAGCAGTGCCTGTCATTTGTTTTGTTTTCTGGGGAAACATTTGAGTGGCAGGAGAGGCACCGCTCACCACCACTGGCATTAAGGCCGCGTGAGGCACCTTCCATAGCGGGTGCTGGCCCTGCCCGGCCACTTCCCCACAGGACTGCAATGACGGTGGGAAGGAGAAGCGGATTGGAAGACATTGTAATTGTTTGGTGTTAGGATCATGTCAGTTTAAAGTGAAAGTTCATAAAACCTAGGATTTTAAAGCTTTTCATTTTTTCTATGCTCCTAAATATATGGTTTCATGTACATAAAATTTTAAGGCAAAATTATGTTCTCATAGCCATGGGTCTACGTGTGTGTGTTTTTACAGCCCATAAAGCATAAGAAAGATCTCGTCTTCACAAAACGTTCCTCTGTGTGTTCCCCTTTGAAAGGAGTGTTATCTCAGGAGCCACAGAGCTTCTTGTTTAGTTAAATAATTGAAGAAGCAGGGAGCTGGAGGCTCACAGGATAAGGGGAGAGACATTGGAAAAGAAACAAAAGAAGAACAGAGATTTCTTTTCATGGAAAAAAAATTCTGTTATAATCGTGTCCTCCTAGTTCAGTGATGGCGAACCTATGACACGCGTGTCAGAGGTGACATGCAAACTCATTTTTTTGGTTGATTTTTCTTTGTTAAATGGCATTTAAATATATAAAATAAATATCAAAAATATAAGTCTTTGTTTTATTATGGTTGCAAATAGCAAGAAATTTCTATATGTGACACGGCACCAGAGTTAGGGTTTTTCAAAACGCTGACACGCCGAGCTCAAAGGGTTTGCCATCACTGTCCTAGTTGTTTCGTTCCCAATGGAAAGGGTTACCATTCAATACGGACAAGATGACGTGAGAGGACTGAGGAAGGACAGAGGCCACAGGTCACAAATGTGGGCTCAGAATTGTTGAATGGACCCGAGGACCCGAATGAGCTCACTCCACACATCAGGCTCCGACTTTCTGCGAATGTGCTTTTCAACTGGTTTTGACCCTGAAACCGATCTTTGGGAAGTCCTTCAATGACAAATACAACTCACATCACAGTCACTTACTGCCCCTCATCCCTCTGAGACTTATTTCTCTTGAACTTCCAAAATACCTCTTGCCGTGCAAGTTTCTTTTTTTACTTTATTGATTGAAAAAACGTTCATGCATTGGTAGGTTCTTGAGTTTTTCTGTCTCCTGTTTTTTTGAAGTGCAAGGTCAGAAGTTGTACAGATCTTCTGGGTTTATTCATGCAATCCCAGATGTTACCCCTTTTAAAACTCTACCGAAAGGCCAATTCCCATGGTTGTTTCATAAAACACATAATGGATGAGCAAATATCATGGACATTTAGTCTTCCTCTTACATCAGGACGGATACATACCGACTGTAAGCACGGCAAACTGTCAATAGCCTATAATAAACCAATCACGATCACCTAAAGCGTCATGAGCAGAGGGCGATCACAGAACCCGAGTAAGGTTGGCGATGGGAAGATAGTGGCAGAGTGTGAGCCTGACATGTGGACACAGAGAGGAAGACAGGGAAGGAGCCGCCGCTGGGCTTCTAGGGTGTCTACTACAGAGCTCACTGAATGGAAAAGCAAAAGAACGTCAACATCATGGCGGCCACAAACCGCCGGCCTCGGGGGCCCCCAGCTGCTAAGGAGCCTGCGAACCCCGAGCTGGCCCGGGCTCGCCTGCCGCTCCTACCTGCCGCTGTTGATGACGGTGAGGTCCGAGCCCGAGCAGATGTCTTCCACGATGTAGGAGTTTTCTTTGCAGGAGACGTTCAGGGAGGTGTAGTTGGGCTTGCACACCGTCAGGAAGTAGGGCGCCTGGTACCCCGTGGACAGCTGGATGATGTCCGTGATGAGGGCCGTGGAGCACAGGCCGAACACGTGAACACCTGTGCGCCAAAGGGCAGAGCTGTCACCAGGTTAGCGCCTGGCACGGATGCTGGTCACCATCGACCTTCAAATATGTGGTGATCGTTTTCTCTATTTCGAGGAGATAATATAGAACATCCCTAACTTCTAAACAGATGCTGAAGGTCAATAGAATGGCAATGAGTATCTTCAAAGTAGTCATTTGAGGTACTGATGTCAGTTTGGTTAAATAAGGCCAATTCCCAGTTGTATTCACCATAGAACCCCTGTCACCATAGGACCCCTGTCACCATAGGACCCCTGGAACATGTTAAGGTGACGGGTTGGGTTAAATACCAGGAATGAAGGAGAATTAAAAACAATTTGAAGTTGCTTACCATGCTGAGCTGCCAGGGCTCCGTCTCCCTCTTCCCCTCCGACCCCCCGCAGCCCCTAACTCTAGCCACAGCCGCCAAACCCTCCAGAACCTGCCCTGACTCCCTGAGGGCTGCAGGTGCACTGGGATGCTCACCCAGGCAGAGCACCGGGATGCTCACCCGGGTGGAGAGCACTGGGATGCTCACCCGGGCAGAGCACTGGGATGCTCACCCAGGCAGAGAGGGGCAGGTGGGCCCTGCGTGGAGACGGGGTTATGTCCTGGGCACAGGGCGTGGGAGTCTTTCTGCTTGGAATTCAGGGATGACGTGCTTATATCTCCTGGTCCAGAGTCTCTGTTTCTTCGTCGCCTAGAGCCGGTCTCAGACACAGACTCCCAACCCCACTGCCCACGCGCACACTGACCACCCCTCCTGCTCAGGGCCTTCCTGGCCTTCCCCTCGGGGGTCTGACTCTGCTCACAGGGCCTGATCTGAGCTCGCTGCCTCCTCTGCACGTCTGGACCCTCCACTCACTCTCACCTGCCAGGCTGGACCCCCACCCCCGATGGGAGAGGCACGCGGTGGTTCCTCAGTGCCTCCCCCAGACCAGGAGCCGCCTGCACGCCGCCCTGTCTGACACTCCCGTCTCTGCTTTTTGTCATCGAACAACCCCTCTAGCCGTCCCCCTCCACTCGCTCACCTGGGATTCTGGACACAGGACCTTTGCTCCCACAGTCCAGCTCCTGGCAGCAGGCGGGGTCTTGGAGGGAGTATGGGAAGGGGAGAACCACCCCCTTTTCCCTTTGGAGAGTGAGAATCTCCAGACCCACGGGGCTGGGCTTGCTGACGGGGACGCGGCTCTCTAGGGAGAACTGGGCCATCCTCAGTCAGAAGGCTTCCCAGGGGTCACGTGCCTCTTCCCCGGGCATGTGCTGCATTAGGGAGCGTTTCTCAGGTCAGCTCTGCGCCCGGCGTCTCACTTCCTTGCCTCAGTTCCTGACGCTGCCACGGGGCCTGGCCTTGTCTCCCCGTCTCCCTGGGCCTTGCTTAGTGGGCAGGGTCCCGGCCATGATCCAGACCAGACTCCCCCTCGGTGCGGGACAGTTGTGTTTAATGACCTACGAGGTGCTGATGGGCCCGTTCCTCTGAGATGACAGGTTGCAGGTACACGACCTTTCCACTGACTTATTGGGAATGAATGTACAGCATTCCTGTTGGCGTGAGGAGCTGTGGCTTCACTTCTCAACCCACTTACAAATAAAAAAAGACCTGTGACTCAAAGAACATTAAGACGTTTCCATGCCAACCAGAAGAGACGGAGGTTTAGATGCTGGATTGATTCAGAGGCTTGCTCGCCAGGCCTGTGGGTTTTCTGCGGGTCTCATAGAACAGAGGAGGGAGACTTCGAGAGGGTAACCAAGGAGGAACAGCCACGGTGCGGGGCTGCAGGGTGACATCTTACGTGCAGTAGTTTCTGGACAAAGACACTGCAGGACAATCCACCTGGAATCACTGATGTGACCAAAGTCATTGCTGAGGAGCCATTCATTCCCACTGGCCTGCTGACACGTACTCTCACTTTAAAAAGGAACACAGCCCAGCCAGCATGGCTCAGTGGGTGAGCATCTATCTATGAACCAGGAGGTCACGGTTCGATTCCCGGTCAGGGCACAGGCCCGGGTTGCAGGCTTGATCCCCAGTGTGGGGCGTGCAGGAGGCAGCTGAGCAATGACTCTCTCTCGTCATTGATGGTTCTCTCTCTCTCTCCCTCTCCCTTCCTCTCTGAAATCAATAAAAGTATATTTTAAAAAGTGAACACAGATCCAATGGAACCATTTCAAAGTAAATGCATGCTTCCGCCAGAACTCAGACAAAAACATGCTGAAATGCGCACGTTAAATTACAGCCTTAGAGACCTAATCTCTGTGATTAAACAGAACATTTCTGTTTGAAACAACTGTTTCCTTTCTTTGCGGCTCCCACACTCACCGACGAATCGGACGGCCCTTCTGAGGAAGGAGTTGAAGTTGCAGCCCCCGGCGTTGATGTTGGGCTCCAGGCCCACGCCGTTCCTCCGCTTGGACAGGCAGCAGTAGAGAATGCCTTCCCCCACCATGATCTGCAAAGACAAGAGGGGCCCGCGTGGGCTCATGGGCTCAGGTGAGTGATGAGTCACCGCTTAACACACGGTCAACGCAACAAGGCAGAGAAGCGTTGTCTTAGCAGCGGTGTGACCGGTTTCTCCCTCGCAGCCCGGCCCCCGAAAGGGCATCGGTTGGACCTTCTGAGCTCCTGCCGCTGGTCAAGGGTGTGATGGCATCTGGAGTTTCCATGTGGCAGCACCAGATCTGGCCCTTTGCTCACCAGCACCCAGTGGCTCCTAACCCATTAACCCCCCGGGGACGGATTCTGCCCTCATTCTTGAAATCTTGGCACTTCATTCCTAAACCCAGGAAAACAAGATGCCCGAGGAGCATGGAATAGTACCGGGGTGTGGTCAGGAGCACTTACCAGCAGATTGTGGCAATGAAGCAGCGGGGATTGCGCAGAAGGGTCTACCCACAGAGAGCATGCGCGAGGGGAGGTGGGTGCTGCCAACGCAGAGTGTCCGGTGGGAGTTTCTGGGACATGGACGTGCCCTCCGCCCTGCCTGCTGCGGGAGCCGCTACCCACCCGTGCCCACTGAGCACTTGACATTCAGCTGCCGCAGTTGAGGAGCCCAGTTTTTATTTCATTTCATTGTATTTAATTATTTAAAATGTAAGGCAATCTGGATTTAAAGGGAAATAGCCACAGGTGGCTAGGGCTGTCTTATCGGAGGATGCAGGCTCCCGGAGGCTCTAGGGAAGCTAATGTCTGGGGAAGCCTCCAGGACAGTTGAAATGGAATTGTGGCTGATGTGGCTGATGTGGCTGATGTGGCTGAAGTCATTTCTGAGATGTTCTCCATTCCTACTGGGCAGAGTGTCCCGGGTATAAGCCAGTTAGAAACGTGTTGCCAATGGACAGACGAGCACACTGCCCAGCAGAAAGGCTGTCTGATAGGGGCCTGCACTTGCCGTAGGATTCTACGACACTGGCTGTCAGTGAGGGGAGTGACTATAGTTAGACCCCAATCGAAGGATGTCCCCTTGTATGTGGCTCCTCAGCACCCGCCCTGCCCTCTAGCATAGCCGGTTAAAGTGCACGTCAGTCATGCCCTTGATGATCTCTCCCTAGCGCCGACCCTCTGAGAGAGACCCGTTTCTCTTTACCTGTTACCCTCACTGTCCGACTCAGTCCCTGGCACTGTGGGGCCTGCACCTGTCCCCTCACTGTGGGATTCTCGTTGGCTAATTACCCTGGGCGTCTGGGCTGTTGGTCACTCTGTATAAGGGAAGCAAGATCTGAAATCATGAGTTTTATTTATGCAAAAGAAATCTAAAATATTTGGGGTTACCGTGCCTAAGAGATTATTGTGAAATTAGAATTGACTTGTGTAAGCATGCAGAACTGAGAAAAGCAGGGTTACATGAGATCCCAGCAGTCCCTTCAGTATAAGTGGTCGTGTCACTTTAAGGATTACGACCATGATTAGGGCTGAAATAGATTTTTCCAGGGAAACGTCCCAGTTCCAGTTCTGAGCATAATATTTTATGAACTATTTAAAATGATAGGCTTTTAAAAACTCATGATAGGGACCCCATGGCCTTCTGCTCTGTTTAATTCTATAGGTACTATGGAATCTGCATTTGTATAAAAATCAATTTTCTTAATGAAACTCTACCAATAACCACGTATGTGTGAAAAATCATGCGGCATACATGCTAGGCTTTTAAGATCAATCATAGAGAAATAATCAAAAGGATTTTTTTCCAAATCATTGAACGTTGAGTTAATTATACGTCTTGAAAAATATCATCCTACATTATCTCTTTAAGGTAGGCATGGCAACACAAAAGGTTCTGTATTCTGCCTGGTGCACCACGCGCATGGAATCGCATAATGGTTGTCTCAAATTGATCATCGCAAGAAAATTACCCACTCATTCCCGAAATGCATTGTCATAGGGCTAAAAGAGATTGAGTTCGTTTTCACTTCTTCAATAACAATTCTGTGGATAATTTTGTTTCCTTCTTTTTAATTACATCTGTAATGATGATGCACTTCTTATTAGTGAATGCGAGGTTACATAAGAATTTGTTGGTACGGCGCCATTCGGAAATGGTGTCTTACCGTGCAACACAACAGCCATGATCTCAAACGACCTTGAAGTTTCCGGAGTTTTCTATTAGAGCTGCTTAATATGCTGAAACACATATGTCAACACTGTGCTCTCCGGCTATCTGGCTTGATTATAGAGAGAGCGGTGTGTTGTTGTTTTTAACCTTTAAAACATTATTTTATTTTATTTTTTTAGAGAGAGTGGAAGGGACGGGGAGAGACAGACAGAATAACATCGATGTGAGAGAGACACATCGAATGGTTGCCTCCAGCAAACACCCTAACCAGGGATTGAGCCTACAACCAAGGTATATGCCCTTGACTGGAATCAATCCTGGGACCCTTCAGTCCACAGGCTGACGCTCTATCCACTGAGCCAAACCGGCTAGGGCTTTTGTCCGCATTTTGACATCACCCAACTGTCCCTCTCTCCAAGGAGAACATCAATGTTTTCCTCACACTTCCATTCAACCTTGGTCTTATGCCATTGCATGGATTTTCAAAATGACCGAATTTGGTTAAAGATGGAATTCTCCTCAGGGAGGGGAAGTGCTTGCTGATGTATTTCCAGAAGCACCTGCCTGTTTCCATGTCCATTTCTCAGGGCTCAAGAAAGAAAACTTTGCCCAGAATCCCCCAGGAAGCCTCTTTCCATTGCATGTTAAGAATTTCTTATGGGAAATGAGGGAATCAGAGAAGCAGAAACACAGAGATGAGGCCCAGGTCCCCGTCCCCAGCACATCTGTCAGCAAAGGGATGGATGTGAGAGTCATGGTGCTGGGTGGGGGGTTGCGATACAACTAGCCTTGCTTTCCTAGCTGCTTAATAAATGTACCCGGGGAGAAGGACAGGGATATAGAAAAGCAAATTACTCAGCTGGGTAATATCAACACAGCCTTTTGAGCAGACTCGTGGCCATGTGTACAGTATTTTGTTTCAAACAAACCAATCGATAAATTTGTCCATTGCCCCCCAACGAGGAGAAATGCTTTCTAGTGTAATAGCGTTAAAGCACATATTCATTTTGCTCTTATAAAAGGAGTGGGCGGTATGGATTTTTCACAAGTCCTTAAAGAAGTGACAGGAAAACAATGTTCTTCTGAGCAACATCGCACTTTAAATGTGTTCTCTTCGTCCGGGTCTCAGCTTCCTGCAAATGCATCATTAATAGTTCCCAGCACGCGGGAGTCACTGCGCTCAAGCAACTCATTGATTTTCAAAGTGTTTTGAGGTCTTCTAAGCGTGATGAAGTTCTTTGGAAAATTAGGTTCTAATTTCATCTGGAGAGAGCATTTGGTGTGATTTATGTGCAGTGCAAATAGCATGTTATGATTATTAATGTAGGGGGAATTTTTAGAAAACAAACTCACAGCCAATGCAAGCATAGACTTTAGAAGGTCAATGCTAAGACTCTCCCCAAACTGCTGACGTGCCGAGCCGGCACCGGCCAGCTTGTTAGGAAAGGGGAACAAACCCCGTTCCCAGGCAGCGTTTTGTTCAGCAGCCCCCCCCCCGCCCCCGATGTTCGTGAGCCCGAGGAACGCAAAGTCCGAGTCCCTCCTGTCAGAAATAAATACGATTCACCTTGAAACATGTTCGCTGTCCTTTAGGTAGGATTCGGGGGGCACAGGAGATGGGGGGAAGGGTTGGCCAGTCTTATTTATGAATGAGTTTCTCAAAAAGCATGCTATTGCCCTGGCTGGGTGGCTCAGTTGGTTGGAGCATCGTTCCAAAAGGTTGCAGGTTCGATCCCCGGTCAGGGTGCGTACAGGAGATGGATGTTTCTTTCTCACATCAACGCCTCTCTCTCTCTCGCCCCCCCTTCCTCTCTCTCTCAAATCAATAAACATATACTCAGGTGAGGATTAAAAAAAAGAGTGTTATTCACAATGTGTCTGTTGACAACCTAAAAAGAACTATGTTTTTATTTCAGTTTCAGCAGGGGAGGGCATTTCTTTATGTTACATATTTTTAAATGCAAGTGCCTGTTCTGCATCTGAAGTGTTTTCTCTCTGTGTGTGTGTGTGTGTGTGTGCGTGTGTCACGTGATTTATGCCCTCTCTATAGTTGGTGACCCACAGTGCTCGGAATCAGTGAAAAGTGCCAGTCAAGTAAGAAAGAAAATGCTAAGAGATATCAACATGCACCTTTGAGAAGAGAGTCTAATCTGTTGGCTACATAGTCACCTGTTTTCCCTGCAGCTGCCACACTTCAGATACCCCATACGCACGCGGATAATGCATTAATGAGTGTGTGGACCAGCCACTCAACAGTTACAAACCTCCCACCCCCCCGCAAATGATTTAGAAACCGCTAGCCAACCTTCATGTTTGCAATCACATCTCCTTTAGTTATTCATGCCAGTGATTTTAAACTGTGATGTATTCCCCCGTGATGTGGTCAAGGCCTCTCAGAGACACGGTCTTTCCGGGCCTGGAGCTAGACTTCACCTTTCACTTGCTTTGAACCCATTGGCTGCACCGTGTGGGCCGCCTTAGTTTTCTGGGGCCGACGGCCCAGTTTGGGGGCAGTGCTCACCGTAATGGCAGGCCCCGCGAAGGCCAGGCTCAGCAGCATGAGCAGCGGGATGGCCTCCTGGGTGGGCTCGATGTACGGCATGCTGAGGCTGCGGTCATAGCAGCTGAACCCCGAGTGCACGGGCTTGAAGACATCCGTGAGCTCCAGGAAGTACAGGCTAACCACCGACGAGGCCAGGATCGGCAGCTGAGGAGGAAGGACATGGGTCGCTTTATGCTCGCCCGCAGGTCACACACAGAACCCGACGCCTTGAAGTAGGAAATGAGTGTGTGCCCAAACAGCTTCAGAGCTCACGTCATTCATGAGCACTATTGCCTCTGCCTTCAGAGCCCACCTCCCGGTCATCCACCGGGGTCAGCCGGTTGCTAGGAGCCCATGCGGTCACTCACCTGTGCTCCCGGGTCACCTCCTAACTGGCCTTCCACTTTCACTCCTACCCACCCCACCCGACCCAGCCATTTCCTACCCATCACCCCAAGGGCTGAGGACAAATATCTGAGGACAAATCGCTTCTATGTCAACCCCTCCAGTGGTTCCCATTCTGGTCCAGATGTCACCCCGGGGGATGCGAGTTTCTGCAGGACTGGCTCTGGCTTGCTTCTCACATCTTCTGGTACATGCTTATACCACTCCCCAGCCCCGGCCCATGACAGCCCAACTGGTCTTTGCTATTTTTTAAAAAATATTTGAGATCTACTTGACGTGCAACATTATATTAGTTTCAGGTGTACAACATAATGATTTGGTATTTGTATATATTGCAAAAGGATCACCACAGCACTCAGCCAACATCCATCACGACACAAAGTTACAAAGCATTTTGTCCTTGTAGTGAGAACTTTCCAGATCTAGTCTCTTAAATCTATAATACAGTCTGATTAGTTATAGTCTTCATGCTGTTCATTATATCCTCAGGACTTATTTATCTTAGAGCTGGACATCTGTAACTCAGGACCCACTTCTCCCATTTTGCCCACCCCACCTCTCTCCACTGGCAACCACCCATCTGTTCTCTGTATCTGTGGGTTTGGTTTGCTGTTGTTTGAGATTCCACATGTAAGTAATACTGATTCCACACACAGTAATTGTCTTTCTCAGTCTGCCTGAGCACAACGCCCTCTAGGTCCATAATGTTGCAAATGGCAAGATTTCCTTCTTTTTCATGGGTTAGTAATATATTGTATGTATGTACCACATTTTCTTTATTATTTTATCAGTGGACACTGGGGTTGTTTCCATGTCTTGGCTATTGTAAATGATGCTGCAATGAAGATGGTGGGGTACATATCTTTTCCGGTTGGCATTTTAGTTGCCATTGGATATATACCTAGAAGTGGGATCATATGGTAATTCTATTTTTAATTTTTTGAGAACCTTCCATACGCTTTCCACAGTGGCCGCACCAATTTACAGTCCCACCAATCGCACACAAGGGTTGCCTGTCCTCCATATCCTCACCAACACCTCTCTCCTCCCTTTTCGATCATAGTAACTCTTACGGTGTGAGGTGGTGTCTCACTGTGGTTTTGATTACATTTCCCTGCTGATAGTGATGTTGAGCACCTTCCTATGTCTGTGTTGGGTATTTGTATGTCTTCTTTGGAAAAAAATGTCTACTTAGATCCTCCAGCCATTTTCGGATTTTTTGAAGGTATTGAGTTATATGAGCTCATTTATCTTTTGGATATGAACCCTTTATCAGCTTTGCGACTATGGCCTCCCGGTGGGCAGGTAGCCTTTCATGCTTGCTGATGGCTCCGTTGCCGTGCGGAGCTTTTCATGTGATGGAGTCCCATGGCCTCTGCCCTTTTCCTGTGATACTCGTTCCCCTTCTACCCCGGGCCCTTGGTATTGGCTGTTCCTTCTCTCCTTGGTGCTCTTTCCCGGCTCTCTGTCTGGCTGGCTTCCTCTCGCCAAGTAGCCTTGGCCCACCTTCCCTCTCCACCCTTTCCATCTTGCTCGCTTTTCTTCCGGGCCCTGACCATGGACTGAAATGACCTTGTCCGTGTAACACTTCACATACTTATTTTTCACTGCTCTCCCTCTGCCCCGGAAACCCATGCTCCATGGAGCGAGCGTCGGCCAGTGTTAACTGCCGAGTCCCCAGGGCGCAGTTCCCCCCGGCACATGGCCGGCATGCAGTGCATCATTAATAACGTAATGAAGCCACAAACACTTGTTGACAAGTGACTGCGTAAATGAGTAAATCTTAATTTATAACAAGAACTAGACCAGAGTCACCAGATTGAGCCAATGCAAATCCGGGTCATTGGGCGAGATTAGGCTTTAAGATGAGCAGAGAATGACTTTTACTGTATGTCCCGTGTGACATTTGGGACTATGTACAGTAAACATTATTTATTGTTCATCAGAAATGTTAATGTCACTGGATGTTCTGCAGCTTATCTGGTAAACCTAAACTAGACATGAGTTATTTTCTAGACTGTGTGCTATGGATTCAATTATTCATTCAACCAACCCACCTACGCTCAGTGCTCCGTGGTGCCAACTATCATGTGGCAAACAAGCCGGGGGCGTGGCCATCAGGGTCACAAGCTCAGGGAGAGACCGCTCCGAGCCAAAGAGAAAATGCCCTGAAGACGCTGTCCGGTGCTGGGCCTCTCAGCGCCTGAAAATGCAGGCGTGTTGCTGCCAAAAATCTGTTTAGTTTAGTCCTTGCCGGTGTGGCTCAGTGGATAGAGCATCGGCCTGCGGACCAAAGGGTCCCGAGTTCTATTCTGGTCAAGGGCACGTACCTCAGTCGCAGGCTCCTTCCTGGCCCGGGCCCTGGTCAGGGCTCGTGCAGGAGGCAACCAATCGATGTTTCTCTCTCACATGGATGTTTCTCTCTTTCCCTCTCTCTTCCACTCTCTCTAAAAATCAATGGAAAAATATCCTCGAGTGAGGATTAACAAAAAAACACTACAAAACAAAAACAAAAAACTCTTTAGTTTAAGACTTAGTTACTTGTGGACAATATAATATTTATTTAATGAAACAGAGCAGGTTTTTAAATAAAGACGTTATTGACCACCATGATTTCTGGTTTGTGGTTTAAAAATAACTACGTTGACGAGACAGCATGATGCCTTCTATTCCCAAGAGGTTCTCGTGTGATGAGGTGACCATAGGGCTCTGGTCCTGGGGTGGCGCCTGGGAGGCTGTGATAGTAGTGTCTCCACTCACCACCAGGTGAGCCAGGGAAGGTTTCCTTCATCTCAGTTTTCTGACCTGTGGCTCGGGGACAGGCTAGCGCCCAGCATCACAGGCAGCCCAAAGGGGTGAAGTGGTACAAGTCAGACCCACAACAGCGGGAGGAAGACCAGTGTATACACGTGAGTCTCATTATTGTCGTTGCTGTTAAAACGATCAATAATATCTTCGTCTCCTTTCTCATAATGCCTGCCCTGGGGCGGTTCCCTTTGAGAGGATTTCCTCACTCATGAGTTCCCAGCGCTCCCTTTAAGGCAGTGGTCAGCAAACTGCGGCCCCTTGAGCGTGGCTCTTCCACAAAATACCACGTGCGGGCGCGTACGTACAGTGCAATTGAAACTTCGTGGGCACACTCAAGGGGCCAAAGAGCCGCATGTGACTCGAGAGCCGCAGTCTGCCGACCACTGCCTTTAAGGGAATTATTAGACGCTGGTCTTTACCAGCCATACCTGGGACAGATCAGTTGCAGTCTTTGCTCCGCTTCCCAACTAAAAACCTCCTGAAGGCTCAGGCCTAGTCGTATCATTCCTGTATTTCCACTATTACTACACATCAGAGAGACCTCAAACACACATGCATATATACATACAAGAAATCAACATCCGAGCGACATGATTTCCTCCAGACATGCCTCCGCTTGAAACTGCCAGTTTCCCAGACACGCCGTTTTCCCACCCATGCGTTAATCCTTCTATTTGTTTTCAAACTAGGAATCACATTTTTCTTCCTTTTTGATGTCTGTTTCTCTGACTTGTTTAAAAAAGTCTCTTTTACTCTGTCTTTTATATCAATTTGTTTCTAAGAGTGGTTCGAACAAAATATTTATACCACTTGGGGAAAAACAATTTGATCCATTGCTTTCCTGTACCGTGTCTTATACTGGACAGTGTAATGCATTAAATGACAATGTTTACTTCTGACACATATATCTTCAGAGACATCTTTCATCTTTGAAATGCTCAACAGCAGAACTTTCGAAATTTCACAGATGGTATGTGCAAAATTTGGCATAGACATGCACGTAATACAATCACACTGGCATCTTCCGATTGCACTGAAAGTGAGATTTAAAAAGATATTTAAAGAGGTTTATGTAATCATGCATTAGGAATTTTATTCTCTAGTTGTGTTGTAGTCAAGAGTAAAAGGATGAGCCACACTGTTTTTATGCACTAATACAGAGGAGGAAAATTACCTGGAGATTGGAAAACAGTTTCAGAAAGAAAAGACTGACTCTTATAATTACCATCTGCTGAGGACTTGTGAGTAATAATAATAGAGCAATTTGTACAGAGAACATTATAACAGTCTTAGAGAACAGGGCAAATAAAGGAAATGTGTTCCAAAAGATTACATTTGCTAGAGAATACTGATTTTTTACACCAATTTTATTATTATTATTTTATAATTTAGGGTGAAGGTATGGTGCATTTTATTTTATTATTATTTCTTTAATCCTTACCTGAGGATATGTTTTTACTAATGAGAGAGAGAGAGAGAGAGAGAGAGAGAGAGAGAGAGACATAGGGTGTGCCCCCCCAAAAATGTAGACACAATTTAACAACTGATAACTCACTTAATTTTCACTCCATTTCAGGTTTAACTTATTTGAAATATTGGGCGAAGCCAGTCTAAGCCTTGAACAAGGAAAACTTATCCTAAAGTGCAAGTGACTTTTTTCTTTTTGTGGGGATACATAAAAGATAAAGTTCAAGGTGCAAAACCGGCAGCAGTTGAGGAATGGAGGGCGCACGGATACCCAACAAAATGATTCTTGATGTTTAAGATTTCATTGCTCCCGTTATCCGCGGAGCCTGGACCAGACAGTCATCCTCTGAAAACAGGTTTTCACACACAAAAAAGGTTCATTTCTGTAGATGCTTTTACACTTTGAAAACAAGCTGTATGTTAATAAACACCGACTTTATAATCCTGCAAAGTGGGGATACATTTTGGGGGACACCCTGTATTTCCTGGTTCCCACACCCAAACGACACCCTGGCTTATCTTTTCTTCAAAATGCGTTGGTTTCGATTCCCTGCACTTTCACTTCCTTTGTGATTTATACCTAAACAGTCTAATGTCAGTCTCAGAAGCATGTGCAGCAAGGAGGGAGGCAATTAGCAGAGATGAGTGTCTAATTACTGGCAGGAGAAACACCTCAACATTAATTGGGTCCCAATGAGCATTTCTGCCCGTGGCCCCATGTTCCAGAACTCACGTCACCGTGAGGAAACCACTCCATTCTGCAGCTACGGGAAGGCCATTTCTCAGCTAATTTATTCTAGAAGAAGCCATAGAAGGCTGGGGTGCGCATCGTTAGAAAGTTCAGTCCCAATCCCTTCCTCTCTGTGGCCAGCACGGGCGAGGAGCACCACTTGGATTTCCGGCAAGTCCTGGGGCCTCCCCGAGTCTCGGTGAGCAGAGGCAATAGCTACTCCTGGGCTGTATTTGAGGGTCAAGTGAGATCATGTATGTGAGCACATTACATTAAACTGCAATGGGAAATTCAGAGTTATTTTACTACCAATGATGTGAATTATATTCTAACCCTCCCAATGTCGCCTCTTCCTTCTCCTGTCCGTCAGAGACCTCATGTCAAGGGAAGTGACTGTGAAATTCTAGGTGGACCAATCTTCTGATGTTAGCTAGACCCATGCTTTTCAAAGAGCCTAGCCGTGCAATCTCGAGTCTGTGGTGTGTAAAGCATTTGAATCTGCGATGCCTCCGATACCGTTATTTTAGGCTCCCTAGGGAGAAGGATGGTATCTTACTCCCCGCCCCGCTGAGTCTTTGGGTGCCTGTATGTGGAAAGAGGCGTGTGTGTGAGTGTATGTGTATGTGCGCGTGCACACACATAAAAGAAGGCATTTCAGCCCTAACCGGTTTGGTTCAGTGGATAGAGCGTTGGCCTGCAGACTGAAGGGTCCCAGGTTCGATTCCGGTCAAGGGCCTGTACCTTGGTTGCGGGCACATCCCCAGTGGGGAGTGTGCAGGAGGCAGCTGATCGATGTTTCTCTCTCATCGATGTTTCTAACTCTCTATCCCTCTCCCTTCCTCTCTGTAAAAAAAATCAATAAAATATATTTTTTAAAAAATAAAGAAGGCATTTCAAACCATGTGCATCGACAGCCCTATGCAAACACCTTTGCCTACAGGTCACCCTTCTACCTCCGTGAAGCGAACATTGGCTAGTGATCAAAATGCATGTCATGCGTGTAAAGCACCGTGTCTCCCTGAAAGACCCGCTGTCCCCTTTGCTTACGGAGCACCTCTCTCTCCTTGGCCTCGAGGGTCACTTACCCCGGCTTGTTCACATACCGGATGGACGGGACGCCTGTCTCTGAACAGAAGGCGAGCGGGGGCAGAGTCTGAGCAGAGTGGATGCGCAGGCAGGAAGCACATTTAGGCACATGCACAGCCCCTCCCAGGAGCAGGGGGAGGGGCGGGGGGGGCCTCCCCTGGTTCCAGGTGTGCAGCCAGCAGCGGAGCCATCCTGAGGGGTACTCCGCCCCGTGGAGGGCGCGGGGGAACCCACAGGGCAGCAGACCGCTGCCCCTGCTGCTCTGTTCTCCCCGATAAGACCCCGGTGCGCTTGGTGTGAGAGTTCCTGCCCCACCTTGACCTTCCCTGAACAGAGCAGACGGAATAGCCAGACGTACTCATATGAGTCGTTCCAGGGAGCCGCAATGCCCACCCCCCAGTCCCTTAGAGAGGGGCGGGCCTGTCTCCCTGCTCTCTAGAGGGTCTCTGGCCGTCCATCCTGCATTTACGTTTCAGGGAGACCATCCGCAAGCCAGGTTTGTGGCTGTTCTCTGCACCCCAAGACACAGTGTCATGGATGCTCATTCAAGCTCCACCAATGGGCTTCCAGGAGCTGCTGCCCTGAGGGGAGTTCTCAGAGGGCAGCCACCAGGGCAGGGCGAACGGTGATGCGGGCTCCCACCCGGGAGAGGAGCGGCTTCAGGGCCATGTTCCTGCCTCGAGACTCCTCGTGAGGCGTGTTCACTGTTAACGTTCTAGACGCAGGGACCTGCCCGCCGTTCAAGGTGCCTCTGAACACGCCGGGGTTCAGCCCTCATCCCCCGCTGTGCACCCCTCGGGGGGAAGCGTTTTCCTCGAAGCCCCGAGGCTCGGAGGCTCTCATCCACGCGCAGCAGCCCCGGCTGACCTCCCTGTGCTCTGTCCGGGGTGGGTCCCCGCAATCAACCCGCCTCTCCCAGGCACAGGGAGTCCATCCCGACGTGAATGAAAGTGCCTTCCTACAAACAGCCGGTCAGCCACGTGGCCAACGGCTGGGCAGGGTTTAACTCAGAAGCAGGTGCCCATCTCTCTTACCTTTTTATAAAAATGTTTTCATCCATTTCAGAGCGAGGAAAGGAGAGAGAGAAACATCCATGTTGAGAGAGAATCATGGATCGGCTGCCTCCTGCACACCCCCCACTGGGAATCGAGCCCGCAACCCGGGCCTGTGCCCTGACCGGGAATTGAACTGTGGCCTCTTGGCTCACAGGTCGACGCTCAACCACTGAGCCAGGCCGGCGGGGCCCTTTACTCTGTTCATCAGGGCGTCTTCTGCTGCCCACATGTCTCTTTAGGAAATTCTTTATTATCTTTTGGTAAAATCACCTAAAACACGGCCTCAAAACCCCTCCTGGAAAGAGGAAGGGCAGCAGTGAGTGGGCCCATTCGTTACGAAGTCAACAGGACAGTTTCTTTTCTCCCAGGGGTGATGGGTGAGGGAGGCAGCCATCATCTCTCTGACACTTTTTGCAAACCACCTTCCTCTTTCTTCCAAGGGACTCGCCTTAAAACCATTTGTGACCCTTGAGACAACACTTGCAAATAGACTGTTTTCCAGGAAGACAGCCTGACCAGCCCCTCCCCCAGTGTCGGGCAGGGGCGGCCCCACCACAGATAAGCCTCCCGAGCCACAAGCACAGGATCTGCCATCTGTCCTTGCAAGTGCTGAGCCTCCATATTTGGCCGAGCAACGGCCGAGGAGGGGTATGGATCATTCAGCAACAGTCTCCCGTCTGCCATGCAATGCAGGCTCCAATCACACATCACAACGCCATGCCCCTCGCCACCTGCATTCACTCCACCGTGCACCGCATTTCTCCCGGCCTGAGATTTCATCCGCCTCTGGCTTAGCAAGGCCCCCGGGTGCAGGAAAGGCCTGCACCTGCCAATCTCCATGGCCCTCCCCCACGCCCCCTCCTGAAGCACTGCATTCTGGTGAGTTAGAGACTCCTTAGGAATACGCGTCAGGTTAACTGCTTGTCTGTAATCCTGCTCAGCACAGCTCAGGACAAATGCACATGGACAAACCTCATAAGACCAGATGATGTCACTTCTTTCACACATGCGTGCATACCGACATGGAGCCATCATGTATGCATGTGTGTGTGCATGTATAATTTTTTTGCCAACCATGGAAAAGGGCCCGTAGGTTGGTGGCGAGACTCGCAGGCCCAGTTTTAGGAGCAGATGGGAGCACCATAGTGGCTCTGCCAGGAGAAGGCTTTTATGGTTTGTTTGTGTTTTTGGTAATAAAGCCACCCATAGTCCTAGTGCTCTGTACACAGCCCGGCCCTCACGCACTGGGGCTCGGCTGTGTGCATTTTGCGCATTTGAATTCCTAATCACAGCGCATAGGATTCTAAAGGCGTACTCGCAGGTTGAAGACACAAACCCAGGAATATGGCCTCAGGGCCCCTGGGAGCCCCAGGCTGTGCACACAGCCAGGGGGGCCGGGAACCAGCCCACCCGCACTCACACAGGTACCCTTCCCTGCAGGCCGCCCCGCAGCGCCAGCGCCAGAGCCAGCGCCAGGGAAGGGGGGCAGGTAGTCCCAGGCACCTGG